ATACGCTTTAACATTTAAAACCCCACACTTAAGTCAAACCATAACTCCACCTTCACATCACTATATATTAACTCCATTCTTCTTTAAGCACACTTACATCAAAAGCCACCACTTATCAAGGAATATATTTTTTTTCACAGCAATACAACTATTTGTTTTTCAATTCAAGTGGCTCTTACTTTTTCAAAACAGTGCACCTTTCTCCTTATTTCATTAGTTCCACTCAAAAGCCAAACCAACCACCCCACACTTTAACTTTTACAAAGTTTATAACAATTCAAGTGCTCATGAGAGGTTGAAAGGTTCAAATAGATGGTTAATTCAAACAAATGGATAAGTCTTGTAATGTGGTCGCCAAAGAAACAGGATTACAGGCTCAAAGGGGTTAACTATGATACATAAAAATTAGGCGGGTAAAATATATATATGGCTCAACAAAGAAATGCCTATATCACCTCCAAGACTGAACAAAACTACTATTTCGCTTTGCAAACACACGGAGCGAGTTCTAGACATCAAATGCAATGCACAGAATAACACACAAATCTCACACACACAGGGCACATAACTCACTCAGGATTGGTTTCATCAAGACACTCTAGTCAAAGCAGGTAAGCAAAGTTAAGATCATACAATTTAAGGTACTTATACAAGAGTCAAAAACTGAGCCTAAGCGTCACAACCAAAGTACTCACTATTCTCAAGGCATAACAAAGTCAAGAGATATTGCTTCAATTCAAAACACAGCACAATGGCTCCTATTCCTAAAAAAATAAAAAATAAACTAACTACACCCGGTTCAAACAAAACCCTTGGAAAAGAAACGCGACACAAAGAAAAAACAAGGGGTAATTGCTACACTACCTAACAAAATAAAATTTTTTTTGTCTTTTTCTTTAGACTTAAATCCCTCAAGAAAATTGTCTAATAGATCCATCGTCGGGAAAGCTCATCTTTTTTTTAAATGTTATTCAATTAAACTAACACAGCTAAAGTAGCCTAGAAAGTCACCCAGACAATCTCCTCACCCCACACTTAAAATTGTGCATTGTCCCCAATGCACACCATAACTAATAAGAGGGTAAAAGAAACTCCATGGTAGGCCAAACCGACGCACTAGCAGCTCATGGGGTACTCAGACTTCTCCCAGGCTTGGTCCTTTGTGCGGGTGCCTCACACTTAGTTCCAACCATCTGGTTTGCTGTTGCATCCTTCCAATAGCTTTGCTTTCCATGCTCCTAGAAAATCAAAAATTGACACTACAAAAATAATACAATTAAAAATAATAATAATAAGAAAAATAAAAAAAATAAAAAAAAAGTAGTAAAGCCGGGTTGCCTCCCAACAAGCGTTTGATTTAACGTCGCGGCACGACGCGAATCACTTTCTGCCTCCACTTCGAACTTATAAACTAGACCCCAAGTTTTGATTCTGCTCTATGATCATGCTCCTAGGGTGGTGGAACGAATCTGACTGGCCCAATAAAATAATGTAGTATTCTGCACTTCTTGGCCTTTAGATGAGATGTGTATTCCCGACTTTCTGGCAAGAAGAATTCTAGAATGTAAGTACCTTGTTCCTTATTCCTTGACTCCTCAAGTGGCTCAGATGACTCTATTTCTATATCATCATCTAGACACAATGTGGAAAAATGCTTGGAGTGTGGACCAATGTGCTCAACTACATGAACATTGGGACTGTCTACATCCTCAACACTAATGACAATAGAGTCAACTAAATATGTATCCTCAATGTCCTTGGTTGACTCTAGTATCTCTTCTACAACATCGGCATCCTCAAATTCTAGCTTGATTGATTGTTGGTGTTCTACTATGGACCCCTCTATTGGTGCCTCAATTTCTGCATCTAATTCACGCTCTTCTTGGATACTATTCACAATATTGGCTTGTTGAGCATTAAAATCTTCAACCAGTTGACTCACTTGAACTTTCAACTTGTGCATAGTTTCCTCTTGCCTTTCTATCTGCAGTTGTAATTTACTATTTTGTTCCACAAGGCACTTTAACATATCCTCGTTCAGCTTTAACATATCTTTGATCTTTTTCTGGTCAGCTTCCCTAGGTTCTTTTTTCCTGTTATCCTCACAAGAAAAAGTAGAACCATCATAATAAGAGGTTGGGGGAAGATAAAAAATATAAGCACAACCATCAAAGTGACCATCTTGACCATCACACATATCACACACATACCACAAATAAGATTGAGTTGGTGCACGTAACTCGCTCTCGAAAATATTTTGACAATTTTGTAATGGGTGATTTCCTCCACAATATGCATAAGGAGGATCAAAAGTAGAATTACCAACATCAAAACTCTCATAATTCCAAGATGCCATGTTCTCAAATCAACAAGTAAAACAAAAAAATTAAAAAAAATCAAATACAAAAATAAAATAAAATAAAATAAAATAAAAGTTCAAACTTGAAACCTAGCAATATGTACACCTACAGCTACACCGTTAGTTCCCCGGCAACGGCGCCAAGATTTGATCACGTCCAACTATTCCTTATAAAAGGACTAAGCGGTTGCTGCAAATATAATCCGGTTTACAAGTCCGGAGTCGAATCCAACAGAGAACTAAAGCTTAGCTACAGTTGTTCACTATCACCAAGAAGACAAGCTTGATCAATTCCTAACTTATAGATATTAGGATTCTTGTGTTTAACTAATTAACTAACAAATTAAAATAGTAAATTAACTACTAAAGATACTAAGGGTTATAGACAAGATTAAGGATCTAGAGTTATGATTTTTCCTATTGTCGGAATCCTTTCCGCTACGTTTTCTATAAATTCGCCTAAGTATTCTCTACCGATCATGAGCACTCTGAGTGTTGTAATTCTCTCCGGAGTAACTACCACAATTTACTAGACATATTCTCCCGAATTACACTAGCTAGCATTAAGTACGGCTCACTCGGATCGCACCAAAGTTTCGTTATCCCTAATCCCACCTTTAAACCCTCCGTATTGATCCCTCATAAACGGTAGGAGTGATGTTGTTCAACAACTACCTAAATATGCACTCTCTCCCGAGTAATACACCCTAAATAGGCACAGTCGATTGAGAGCTCTTCAATCAACCACAATATAAACGTAGTTGAACAAATAGAGAAATTCAGCGGCTCAATTATATAAAAACATAACAAGAATTTATCCTACAAAAGGTTCTATCAGAACTCTAGATAACAAATTAGCTATTCATAATAGTATGCATAACTACAATAGTAGAATTCATAACCAATAGTAGAAATAGGAAGAAGGAAGTGAAAAACTCGTAGAAAAATTCTCCGCCTTGCTCCTAGTGTTTTCTTGCCTCCTTAGGTCGAATCTTTCGTCACCTTAGCCTCCTTAGGTCTAAATTATGTCAAAAGTCCTTCTACAAAACAAGTCTCCCCTCTTTTTGGGCGAGTTAGGCTTCATATAGGTCAAGGTTAGTCGCCTCTGGAATTACAAAATTGGCCTTGGGCTATTTTTTCTCGGAAGCCCGTGTGCGGCCGCGGATTGACCACTCATTTTTCCCAGTGTTCTGCCTGACGTGCGCGGCCGCGGATCGACCGCGCACCTGGAGGAGTTTCTGCCTTCATTTTTTTCTTTCTTCTTTTGCGCGTGCTAATCTCCGATTGGCTTTTATTGCTCGATACTAACTCCAAAACACTCTTTAATGTCCTCATAGCCGGGAATTGCTCCTGCAAGGCATAAAGTTCTTAATTAGAGCAATTTGTTATCATTTAACATTCAAATATCAATAAAGTGCAGCTAAGTTAGAGTGTAATTGGTAGCTAAACTACTTAATTATAGCCTACTATCAGGTAGGCTTAGCACTTACGGGGTGCCGATGTGGTGTACTCATGCCCTTCCCTGCATATGTTTTTCATGTGCAGATCCAGGTACCGCTTATCAGCCGCATTATCAGTAAGGCGAGACAGTTTTAGAGACTTCAAGGTATATCTGTCGCGTCCGCAGACCTCGGAGTCCTTTTCTACTCTTTCCCATGTCAAACACTTCTTGTATTTACTTTGATTAGACTCTGGAGTATAGAAATACTGTTTTCTTCCTGTAGTTTGTAACTCGCGATATTCTGGGTTTTGGGAGAGTTTATGTACATTTCGAGTGATTATTGTATATGCCGAGCGGCATCTTAACTTCTTATTTAAATTTACCTGTTAGTTGTTAGCTTTCATGTATTCGTTTCTTTTTCCGCAAATGTTAGGCTTACCTAGTCGTAAAGACTAGGTGCCGTCACGACGATTCACGAAGGGAAAACTTGGGTCGTGACACTTGCATTAGATTTGGGATCACTATCCCAAAATTATAATCATACCATATTAAACCTGAATAACCCTGTCTAAAAACAAACGATCCTTGAAAGTTATGCAATGATTATTTCCTCTTATATACTGTATTAGCTTATACGAGTCTTACGCTTTGATTAATTGTTCCAATACATCAAACCAAACGATCATTTAACATGATATGTACCGTAGTCAGAGGCGGATGTAGCATATTAACATTATGTTTATTTGAACTCAGTACTTTTAACGTAAGGCATGTATTTATGTGTAAAAATTTACTAATTGCAACAATAATTTATCGAATCCATAATTTTAAAAATATAATAGGTTCGATACCAAAAACTTTAAATTTGAAAGTATATTAGGTTCGATACCAAAAACCTTCAAATTCCGAATTCCCTTTTAACTACTGTAGTACTTAATTATTTTCTACGCATAAGCATTTAGCTATGTCAAGAGCTCACACGTGCGAATCCCGACAAAATCCTCGCTCGCGCGACTCGTGTCGTGTGATCAAGCAACGTAGGACATAAAGTACCAGATAACCAATTGAAAAAACTGAAAGAAAAATATAAAATAAAAACCCACACAGAAAAACAAATATGGGAACAAATATTCACACACCAACATAATCTTTATCACCTTCGGTTTCGGTGTATTCTCAGAAGATGCGTCCCCCACCCCCCTACCCCTTTCTACCCCAACCCCACCACCCACCTGAAACACACTGGAAAAGGGAGTACCCGCTCTGTCCTTCTCTTTCCTTTTTCTCTCTCTAACTTCACTGTTTTTTCCCCTCTCTCTCTGAGTCTTTGCTCTTTTTCTCTTTCTAGACCTCACTGTAGTATTCTCCATCACTTTGATACCAAAAGAAACTAAAACCCCTTTTTCTTTTTCTCCTCAACAAGGTTCCACGCTTCAGAATCTTATCAGCAAAATCCCATCTTTTCATCCTCAGCATCCATGAATCCTCTAGGTATATTCATTTATCTTTTATATAGAGGTCGGTTATTCCTTTTTTTTCTTTCTTTTAGTTAAATGAGCCCTTGAAAATTGAAGGTTTTTTTTTTTTTGGTGGTGTTTCTTTATGGTGTTTGTTAAGCTATAATGTGGTTATATTTCTTTTCATTAAAGGCCTATCTTTGTTTGCTTTATCCTTTTCTGTGGGAAAGTGAGAAGGGTCTTTTTTGATAGAGTTCATTAAAGCATTTTCTTGTGAACTTTTTTGTTGCTTTTGTTATTTTGGATTTGCTTTTTGTATGGTTTCTTAACTATTTTATTCTTAATTTTTTTATGTTATGCAGGTTTGAAGCATTGAGATGAATCGGATCTGAGGTTGTGAGTGAATGGTTTTGGCATTTTTTGGATTATGGGATCTAGGGTTAAACATATTTAAGCGTTCTCCGTTTAATATTTTTGGTTAACTTGCTTAGGACTGTTATATGTGAAGATTATTTAGCATTACTGTAGTTTGAGCTGTCTCTGCTGAGATCCTTATTAGGGGGTTTGCTTTATTTGTTGATTATTGGCTCAACTGTGGTGGAGAAATTGAAGGGTTTTGGGACATTTTTTCTTGAGTGAGAACTAGTAGCCTTAAAAATGCAGAGACCACCACAAGAAGATTTTTCGCTCAAAGAGACCAAACCCCACCTTGGTGGAGGGAAGGTCACGGGCGATAAGCTTACTAGCACCTATGACTTGGTTGAGCAAATGCAGTATCTTTATGTTCGGGTGGTGAAAGCAAAGGACTTACCTGGGAAGGATGTAACGGGTAGTCTTGATCCTTATGTTGAGGTTAGGCTCGGGAACTATAGGGGTACGACCCGTCATTTTGAGAAGAAGTCAAATCCCGAATGGAATCAGGTGTTTGCTTTTTCCAAGGATCGGATTCAAGCTTCTGTACTTGAGGTGAGCGTGAAAGATAAGGATCTTGTTAAGGATGATTTTGTTGGTCGCTATATGTTTGATTTGAATGAGATCCCAAAAAGAGTGCCCCCAGATAGTCCTCTTGCTCCGCAGTGGTATAGGTTGGAGGACAGAAATGGTAACAAAGTTAAAAGGAGAGCGTGATGTTGGGCTGTTTTGGATGGGTACTCAAGCTGATGAAGCCTTTCCTGAATCTTGGCATTCCGATGCTGCGACTGTTAGTGGTGCTGATGCTCTTGCAAATATAAGGTCTAAGGTGTACCTCTCACCAAAGCTGTGGTACCTTAGAGTTAATGTGATTGAGGCTCAGGACTTGATTCCCGGTGACAGAAGTAGGTTTCCAGAAGTTTACGTGAAGGCCATCCTTGGAAATCAGGCATTGAGAACCAGAGTTTCCATGAGCAAGACTATCAATCCGATGTGGAATGAGGATCTGATGTTCGTAGCAGCAGAACCATTTGAGGAGCCATTGATTTTGAGTGTGGAAGACAGAGTTGCACCAAACAAGGATGAAGTTCTCGGAAGGTGTGCTATTCCTTTGCAGTATATTGATAGGAGATTGGATCACAGACCTATTAACAGTAAGTGGTATAATCTTGAAAAGCATATAATGGTTGAGGGAGAAAAGAAGAAGGAAATCAAGTTTGCAAGCAGGCTTCACATGAGGCTATATTTGGAAGGAGGTTATCATGTTCTGGATGAGTCAACCCATTACAGTAGTGATCTTAGACCAACTGCAAAACAGCTGTGGAAGTCCAGCATTGGTGTCCTAGAATTGGGTATTCTGAATGCTCACGGCCTCTCGCCGATGAANTCAGACTTGGCAATGGGAGAGGATAAAGTCCGAAGGGGCGAAGAGACGTCGACGGAGTTCGGTAAGGGTCAGGATCCGGCTTTCAACTCTTGAAACAGATCGTGTTACGTACACATTCTATTCCACACTGGTCTTGCATCCTACCGGGGTGAAGAAGATGGGTGAAATTCACTTGGCTGTAAGATTTACTTGCTCATCATTAATGAATATGATGCATATGTATTCTCAGCCACTGCTACCTAAAATGCACTATATTCATCCTTTAACTGTCAGCCAGCTCGACAGCTTAAGGCATCAAGCCACTCAGATTGTCTCAATGAGGCTGAGTCGTGCTGAGCCACCTTTGAGGAAAGAGATAGTGGAGTATATGTTGGATGTTGGTTCCCACATGTGGAGTATGAGGAGAAGCAAAGCCAACTTTTTTAGGATTATGGGAGTTTTGGGTGGATTAATTGCTATTGGAAGATGGTTTGATCAGATATGCCATTGGAAAAACCCCATTACGACTGTTCTGATCCATATCTTGTTCTTGATACTGGTTCTATATCCGGAGCTTATTCTGCCTACCATTTTCCTTTATCTCTTCTTAATCGGAGTTTGGTATTACAGATGGAGGCCTAGAAATCCTCCCCACATGGATACTCGTCTTTCTTGTGCTGATAATGCGCATCCTGATGAATTAGACGAAGAATTTGATACTTTCCCTACTTCACGTCCCCCTGATATTGTTCGGATGAGGTATGACCGTTTGAGAAGTATTGCTGGACGGATTCAGACTGTGGTTGGTGATTTGGCTACTCAAGGGGAGAGGCTACAGTCTTTGCTGAGCTGGAGAGACCCTAGAGCAACAGCATTGTTCGTTATTTTCTGCTTGATTGCTGCCATTGTGCTCTATGTCACCCCTTTTCAAGTTGTGGCACTCTTGACTGGATTTTATGTGTTAAGACATCCGCGGTTTCGTCACAAGCTACCATCTGCGCCGCTTAATTTCTTCAGAAGATTGCCCGCAAGAACAGACTGCATGCTATGAGCTATACTGTTGGCTGGTATTATCCATTTCCCCCTGTGTCTTGAGTTGATGAACTACTTTAGAAATTAGCAGGGCTTTATTTTATTCCCCTCACTCGCTTATATTCCCTTTTTCCCTCCCCTAGTGGTAAGTGTTATGTCCTAGTGTGTGTAAGATCTCCCTGAAACTGTTAGATTTAGTGGATTTACTGTTTATTTATTCAAAAATTCTGTTGAAATTTGGCTGCTAGAGCCTAGATGGAAATCCATATTTGTAGTCTTGTGGGTTCTTTCTTTTTGAACTTTCTTCATGCCTAATTCAAAGTTTTCTGTCTATTCAAGTTGGTTTTTACATCTTTATTGACATTATGTTTCGAATCCTTTATGATTTATTTGTTTATCAGAGTATTGCTAACCCAAAAATGTACCTATCTCGTAAACTTGTTGCTTATTTTGAAGTGTAATACGTTAATTCCGAGGGTAATGAATAAAATTACATGTTGATGTCGCTTATTATAAGAAAAGGTACCCCGAGTAGTTATCAATGTGCGCGCAAGCTGACTGGACATCACGGTTATAATGTTCTCAAAGACTTAGATGGAACAAGTATATGAGACTTGGGCTTTCCATCTAATCTTCTGAATTTGCTAATGAACAGTCTTTTCTAATCGTTTGTTCTCAAAAAAAAAAAAGATGTTGTGATAAAAGGTAGAAACTCAAGGATAAGCACATTTTTTGTTGATATTTTTACTAGATTCGGTGTTGAGAATGTCAAGACAATGACGTGTTAGCAATGTAATTATATCATTCGACCAATATGTGGACCATTGTTAATGTAACGAGGAATAAGTGTGTTTAGCATTTGTATAATGCAAGTTGCCCATTATTTTATTTGGTGATGTTTGCCAAGTTTGAATACAAAATATGGTAGAGATTCCTGCAAAGCCGTGTGTTATGCTTTATATGATTATTGTATTAGTGTTGGATCTGACAGATCAGAGTGTACCTATTGAAAGCAAATAAATGGTTATAAAACAAATAATAAATGCGCATAATGAGTTAAATTTTGAATGCTACGAACTCAGGCCTCCATAAAGTCAAACCAAACAGGGCTTGGTGTACCTACAAAACCGTCAAAATTGTATGGCGTAGCCAGTTTTTCGGTTGGCTATTGAAAATAGCCACCAATCTAAATGTAATCGATTTCTAGCCATTTTAACTTAAATTATATGGTAAAATGATATAACTGCCCTTGACCTTTTTAACATACTGTTTAGTAACTTTTTATCGCCTTTCTCTTTGTTTTATAGCATTGTACGGATTTAGCTTTCCTGCGAAAGCACTTTTCTTCGAATCTTGTTTGGGTTATGTCCAATTTTCTTCAAAATTATGGGTGAGTTTTGTTTTTTACGATAATGTGTTTGAATTTTCGTTATTATTGTTGGTTGTTTAGGTTTAATTTTCGTTATTATTGTTGATTTCAGTACCGTTAGGGTTTAAATATTTGTTCCATTTTAACTTTTACGATTTTTCTCTGTTCATTAGTTTGTCTTATTTCTGGTAATTTTGTCATTTTAGTAATTTCTTTTTCAAATTTTTTCTAGTCTCTATATATTAGGTTTAATTTTCAAGTATTTTCTTGTTTCATCTGTATTTTAGATTTCTTCAGTTCTTGTCAAATTTTGATATAGTTGAGTTTTGTTTCATTCCATTATATTTTACGGGACATCTGCTGTGTGCGAATAGTAGACGTCTACTGTGTGGGTTTTGATTATGTTTTTTGTTTATTAAATTTAGTAAAATTTTGTTCAGTATATTATACTGGAAGTCTGTCTTGTGTATGTTTATCTTCCAGCATGTTATACTGGATGAATATTATAATATAGTTGAGTTTTGTTTCATCCCATTATATTTTACGGGACGTCTGCTGTGTGCGAATAGTAGACGTCAACTATGTGGGTTTTGATTATGTTTTTTGTTTATTAAATTTAGTAAAATTTTGTGCAGTATATTATACTGGAAGTCTGTCTTGTGTATGTTTATCTTCCAGTATGTTACACTGGATGAATATTATAATATAGTTGAGTCTTGTTTCGTCCCAGTATAATATACAGGACATCACCTGTGTGTAATCTTTTTTTCGATTATATTATACTGGAGGAGTTGAGTTTAGGCTAGCATATAGTTGAGTTTTGTTTCAATCCAGTATAATATACAGGACATCACGTGTGTGTAATCTTTTTTTCCATTATATTATACTGGAGGTGTTGAGTTTGGGATAGCATATAGTTGAATTTTGTTTCAATCCAGTATAATATACAGGACACCACCTGTGTGTAATTTTTTTCTCCAGTATATTATACTGGACAAGTTGAGTTTGGTCTAGTATATAGTTGAGTTTTGTTTCAATCCAGTATAATATACGGGACATCACATGTGTGTAATCTTTTTCTCCAGTATATTATACTGGAGGAGTTGAGTTTGGTCTAGCATATAATTGAGTTTTAATATACAGGACATCACCTGTGTGTAATCTCTTTTTCCATTATATTATACTGGAGGAGTTGAGTTTGGGATAGCATATAGTTCAGTTGTTTCAATCCAGTATAATATACAGGACATCACCTGTGTGTAATCTTTTTTTCCATTATATTATACTGGAGGAGTTGAGTTTGGGATAGCATATAGTTGAGTTTTGTTTCAATCCAGTATAATATACAGGACACCACCTGTGTGTAATATTTTTCTCCAGTATATTATACTGGACGAGTTCTGTTTAGGATAGAATATTATAGGGGGAAATCTATCATATGAATGTTTGGCTTCCAGTATGTTATACTGAATGAATATTATAATATAGACAAGTATTTTTTAAGTCCAGTATATTTTACAGGGTTTCTCCTGTGTGTAAGCTTTTTTCTCCAGTATATTATACCGCATGATTATTATGCTGTTTTTCGATTTTCATATCTTGTATTTTAGTCTGATCCAGTATATTATGCTGGAAGACTGCAATCTATAGACTGTTCTTCTGTTCATTTTAGTGAATGAGTTATTTTGATAATTTATTTCTCATATATATACTGGGATTCTGATTGTGTTTATTATCTGATTTGTAATATGTTTTTTTTGATGATTTTATAGAAATGGAATCATCAAGTTATATATTGAAGGTACGTATTTCTAAAATGTTGAAGTTTTTATCTTAAAATTACATGAAATGTTGCTTATCTGTGTTATATTTTGATTTTAGGAGGGAGATCGATTTTATGATCTTAAGAAGTGGTTTGCTGCTGATTGTTATTGGAAAGGCGATCGAAAATTTAAGAAAACAATTTCAGAGTTTTTGTGTGGAACTCAAATGGAACAGTTAAAGAATGGTGTGTTTGGGAAATTTTTAGAGTTGGATGACGTGGGTCACTCTGGGAAGTTGACTCATTGTATGTTGCTTTCTCAAGTTTTTTACAAGGATAAAAGCAAAATGGTTTTTAGAGTTTTTGATAACGACGTAGCTTTTACAGAAGATGATTTCCATTCTATAACCGGATTGAAGATTGAGGCATCTGATTATAGTTTTGTTGATGATAGAGATAACCGTTTGAAGAAACGGTATTTCTCTGATGTGCCAAAAGGTTTGAAGGTAGAACATTTGTATAAATTTATCACAAAGCGTTCTCGACTCCGTGATGGTGCAGCAGATGATATATGTGATGATGTCGAGGTCTGTGATGAAGATGCTGTAAAGCTTGCTGAGATATACATATTAGAAACTGTTCTTTTGGGTAAAGACATTAAAAGAAATATAAGTGAACGTAATATGAAAATCATAGACGATCCAGAACTTTGTTCTTCTTTTCCATGGGGGAGTTACTGCTTTCAAGAACTTATTGACAATTTGTCTCATCTTCTGAAAACAGAATCTGTGAAAGACAAACCTATTGGTAGGATCGCATCTTATACGTCACTTGGATTCCCCTTCTTGTTTAATGTATGGATTATGGAAGTGTTCAATGATTTCCGTCAATATTCAATATATGAGGATCGGGGGCCAATAAGGATGTTGTCTTACTCAAGCATTGGATGTCCAAAATATGACTCACTTTGCGATGATTTCTTTAAGAAAACAACTGTAAGTTAATCGTATGTGAATTTTTAATTTATACTTGTGCTCATATATTTTGTTTTTATCTAACTATTTATATTTCTATTTAATTAATAGAAATATAAGCTTTTCAAGGTGAATCAATCATATCTTCTCCAATCTTCATCAAAAGTTAATGTTAGCGACATTGTCAATGTAAGTAGTTGTTTCTTCTATTTTATTTAGTCTTGCATTTCATTAGGTAGACTAGTGTGTGTTTTTGTTGTCCGGTATGTTATACAGGAATGAGTTTTCATTCCTTCTGATTCATGTCATCTAGTATAATTTACAGGTAATCTAGTGTGTGTTACCTTGTCCTCCTGTATGTTATACTTGGTCAGTTTTCATTTCTTCTGGTTCATGTCATCCAGTATAATTTACAGGTAGTCTAGTGTGTGTTACCTTGTGAATAATTATTTGTCTTTTTGTTTTATAATATACCCTTTGATTATTTTAGTTCTTTATATCCCAGTATTTTTTTCTGGAGTTTTACACCTTTAAATTCATTTCATTCAGTATATTATACTGGAAGACTGCCAGATGTAGGCTGTTTTGTCCACTATAATATACTGGATAAGTCTAATATTTCATTTCATTATGTTTTTTAGTTCTAATAATTTACTCTACAAAATTATATTCTACTCTTTATTGAATTGTTTTTACACTCGATAAGAATGTTTAACCGTTATGATTCTCTAATTCTTACCATTTTTCTTTTCTTTTCAGAGGGTATCTGACAAAGTTGAAGAGATTGTACGTGAGGATAATAATAAATTTCAAATAGAGATGAAAACAAAAATTAAAGATAATCGAAAAAAGTTGAAGAAGTATGTTAAGAGCGCTGTTAAGGTAATTAACTAGTTTGGCAATTTATTTTACTATTGATTTTTTTTCTATAATAATATATTGTATTCATTAATGCAGGAAATCAATGACAAGCTTGATGTTGTTGTAAAGTTTATTAAAGATTTAAAAAATCATGATGAAAGCAATGAAAACCATGAGGAAAGCAGTGTGAAAGGCAATCAAAAGCACGAGGCAGATGAAAGTACTGAAGACAATGAGGAAAGCAATGAAAAGCATGAGGAAGATGAAAGTAATGAAAAGCATGAGGAAAGCAGTCAGAAAATCAATGACCAAAGAAATTATTCTGATGGAGAGAATTATGATGGAGATAATTATTGTGATAGAGATTTTTCAAATTTGTCGGGAG